TGTCTGTAGTTGTAGTTTTCTTTTCGAAATGTCTCCCGTGTAAGAATGTCTTTGATTCCTTATATCATGACAATGAGTTGCTTCTTGTAAGAAGCCCTTGCCTTATTTGCTTCACATCTTGTGTGAATATATATATTTTCATGGGCTTCGTTAGTGTGGCATATAGAGAAGTACAAAAGTCTACAAGATACTGCATATGTGTATAGGTGGTGTAATTATTGTATTATTTGAGAAATAATAAGTGATCATGTAACTAAAAACTATTGTTTGGGATATACAGAGTGGGCAAGGTTAAGCTTCTGCTTGCAACTTAATCATTGACATTTCCTGACTTTTGAATGCTTAATTATGCAACCTTAATGTTGTTTAATCTTCCTGTGGAATGGCTTCTAAACATGATGGGATGGGATGGTCATAAGCAAACACTGAAACATTCTGTTCATTCAAGTAACAATCTCTAAAGTGAAGTGAAGCAGAGGGTCAGTGCACAAAGAGACAGGAGGCTCAAGAATGCAACTGAATGCTGCTATGGGAAATAAGATAAAAATAACTACTAAGATAAATGTACAATGAAATAACTTTTCTCACTGCTGTTGGTGCAGAGAGCAGCATGATGTTTGCATGTTACTTTAAAAACAAGTATAAATCTTTGACAACACCCAACTTTCCCCCCCTCACTATTAGCTGTGAAGTCTAGTCTTTAGACACTTTCAGAATCTCCGCTGATAACTGATTTTTCTAACAGCAGCATCCTTAGGATGTGTCATTCAAGAAAGAGCATAGAGTGCCTGCTTGTTAGAGCAGGAAATGCAGCATGGACAGCCCCAAGCACTCTAAAATCATGAGTAAGGCCCAAAAAATCGTGAGATTTACTTACAAATAATGAAATTTTAAAAATATAATATATTTTGGGTTCATTTTATTTGTCTTGTCGTTTCTAAGCCTTTATGATAACTCTGGTCACATTGTCAAGCTTTTCTCTGCAACCATGAGCACTGAGATGCTCACCTAATTGCATGCCTGTAGGATCTGGAGCTTTAAGAAGAACACTCGTGATAAAATCACAAGAGTTGGCAATACTGGGACTGGGAGTTAAGACTTCAGGGTTCTGCTATTAAATCCACCACTGGCTTTCTGGATTTCTTTGTGACATGGAGCAAGTCACTTACTCTCTCTGTGCCTCAGTTCTGATTAGGTTAAAGTAGATTTAAATAGGATGAAGATCTCTCACTACACCAGCCAAGGAGGAGTGGGTGCAATGGGAGAGCACTGTTTACACAAGCCAGGGAGAGCACGGTCCCGGGGGAGCTGCACTCCAATCCACATGTGAGTTCCATTGAAGTCAGGCATTTGCAGAATTGAGGCCAATGCTAGTAATATGGTCCTTTCTACTGAACTGTGTTTGACAGTATTAGTGAATGTCAGTTGCAAGCTCTTGCCACCTGCTGCGTAAAATAAGAGAAATGTAGCAGCAAGTCCACAGTCCACATTGTCAACTGCAATCTCAGGGCCCAGTCCTGCAAACACTTGAACGTTAGCTTAACTTTACTTTCACAAGTAATTCCTTTGATTTGGGGATTACTCCCAGTAATAAAGTTAAACACATATGTAACCCTTCTGCCCGTCAGAGTTGGCAGCAACAAGGGCCGGGTTCAATATCTAGGGGATCCATTCCAATAACACAATGCAAACTGGCTCGAGCCCCCACCCAGTGACCTGGGACAAATATATACCACCCCCGCTGGGCGCCTCCAAGAGGCAATACTTCCCCTCTCGCAAGCACATAGTCTGAGTGTAGCAAAAGCCTTTTAATAACAGAGAGAAACAATGTGGCATTATGTTGGGGAAACACCACCAACAGGATTCATAACACAACCCATGAGCAAAAAAACCCCACCCCAAGCAAATTGGGGCATGCCCTTTTCCCTTTGGTTCTTGAGTCCAGCAACCCCAAATCACCCAAAGTCCCAAAAGTCCAATGCCCCAAAAAGTCTCTGTCCCTGGTCAGGGCAGCCCCAGAGTTCGAAAGTTCATCTGCGGAGCTCTACCTCCCAACCTGGGTGGAAATGGGATGGGGGTAAGAGGCACCTTACATGATCTGAAGCTGACCGCCCCATAGCTCCATAGTGGCGCTCCGCTCTGCCAGCCGCCCCACGAACTCCTTCGCTCAGCTCCGCTCCGCCAGCCGCCCCACGAACTCCTTTGCTCAGCTGCGCTCCGCTCCGCCAGCCGCCCTACGAACTCCTTTGCTCAGCTGCGCTCCGCTCCGCCAGCCGCCCTACGAACTCCTTCGCTCAGCTGCGCTCCGCTCCGCCAGCCGCCCCACGAACTCCTTCGCTCAGCTCCACGGCCCACAAGCAGCTCCTGCCATCCACAAACTGCTCCGCGTCGAACTGCTTCACCAGCCGGTCCGCAAGGCACTCCAGCCGTCCCCCCGCAAACTGCTCCACAATATATCTTCAGGCTCCCCCACTACTTAACACAACACTCAGTGATTTCAGCTCTTAGGTAAATTCAGCTTGTAGTAGGGGAGCCCCAGTGCTGGTGCACTGTCAGCCCAAAGTGAGCTCAGTAGCCTATAACTAGACTTCTAATGAAATCAAAATTAGCTCTAATATTCCACAGCGGAGAGAGACAGAGGTGCAATTGGTGCTTCAGGCCCTCACAAAGGGGCCTACACCACCAGGCACTAATACCTGTCTCAAGTTTCTCTCCCCTCACACAGTTTTGGAACCCATGACCCTTGCGTAGCGAGTGCTACTTAGTTGATGGTGAATCCCTCCATCATAACAAAAGGCCACGTACAGTTCCAAGCACAGTTCCCATAATCAGGGTAATAACAATTTATTCTTCCTGCCCCAATAACAGAGACACTGGGGATCCCACAGCAGCCAAAGTGACCATTTGGGCAGCTATGGTCTCATTCTAGGTGTGGTGGGTGTGCCTATGCAAATAAGATCGGCCCCTGAAGTTCTTTTCCACAACTTGCCACACCTCACCACCAGATGTCAGGGTGGAGCTCATCCTGACACTGCTTACACATACATAAATATTCACAGGATTCAGGGAGGGGAGGGGGAGAGAAAAGGACAGAGAGGTGCCTAATTGTGCGCCTTTTAACAATTTCACAAGATTTGAAGATGGCATGTGAAGTTACTGCTAACCACCACTAGGTGATCTCCATCAGTAACATTTAAAAAGCATAGTATAACCATAACTAGTTATTCTGTTTTTTGCTTTTGTTCATTTTAACATAATTTAGATTGTGTTTTCCCTCCTCTAATTACATTTGTGCGTGATTTCTTTCTATGAGTTTTGTAACCATCTATAAGATCTTTCTTCTACAAAAACATCAAGACCAGAACATCTGCTATCTGTGATCTTTTAAGATTTAATAGGTAAAGCTACAAACTTATAAAATGCCAACCTATACTCTTAAAGTCTAAAATAGCCCCTTAATCTGTTCTAAAACATGGAATTAATGGTTATTTTTATTCAGTTTATGGGAGCTTCTCCCCTTTAATTAATTTAATTGACGTTCTGATTATTTATCCCAGTGTTGTTGAACTTGCTTTCTTGGGCAAAATGTGTAAAAATAGGTTATGAGGATAGAAAAGACACAGAACAAAATACACTCATTAGTGGGTCTTAGTCATAGTGAGCCCCATCAAACTTTTGGAAAGCCCCCATTCTGCAATGTGATCTGCATGGATATAATTGCATGATCAGGCCCTAATTTAAGACAAAATACAAGGAGCAGATGTAACAAACTATCAGAGGGAATTGGGGAAGGAGAACAAGTGTAATAGTGATAAGAATGTTACAAACACTAGTGATGTACACAATTAGATTTTTTCAGATCATATGTTTGAAAATAAATATATAATATAAATACAATTAACATCAGCAATGTCTAGTCTGTTGATGAGTCTTTTTAAAACAAACCTGTGATTAATAGTTTGTGTTGAAGGTAAGTCAGAAGGCGGCTTACAAATTTACCAAAGATAAAATGAGACAGGAAGTCAAAACCATACTAGCTAAAGCATGATTGCAATCCAAATAACAGCAGATAGAAGAAAATGGGTGAGACTGAATATATACATGTTGGCTGGTGCAAGTCTTTTAAAGGGATATATTGATAAGGAAGTTCCATTTATAAAGAAAAGAGATGCTGTTGAAATTGGTAGCCGCAAATTCCACCTATCTATCCAATGTCTTTCCTAGTAGAAAGTCCAGTTGAAATTTTAAGCTGGTTTCAGTTGGCCAACTAGGTTTTGGAATGTTGCAATGGATCTCTTAGTCTACTGGATTCTGGGGCTACTGATATTTAAATAACTCCAATCTACTGGAATTTCCACTGTGTTGAGGGTTTTGCTTATTTGCAAAGTAATCAAGCTAAAATTTTTGGTCAGCACTAGTAAGTGCCAGGACACTTTCATTTAGAAACTATAGTATGGATGTAGGTGCTCAGTTCTGAATATACAAGCTTGCATATTTTAGCCATGATTCTTAATGTTTTCCCAAATAAACAACCAACAACAAAATCCCCAAATCCTCAACCTGCAGTTTAACAGTTTGCACTTATATAGCACATTCCATTTTATCATCCTAAAGCAATCTATAAATATGAAGATCTATAGCAGCCCTCTAACATATGCATGGTCCCTATTTGGCAGATGAGTAAACTGAGCCATGGAGAGCTAAAGTGACTTGCCCAACACCTCACAGCATGTAAGTTCTGGCTACGAGTCCCATGATGCAACTACTATGCTATGTATAAAACCAGCAGCCTAGCATTCCTGGGTAATCCTACAATAACAAAACAGTGTGTATACCTGGAGGAATACAGAGTTCAGTAAACCATGCCAGTTTCAACTTCCAAAAACTTATTGTTGTAAACCTAGAAAACATTTTTTAAAATAGTTTATTGTTCTTCTAAGAAAAGAAATTGTTTCCAGACTTTGAATGAATCTTAGAATGAAGTCACACATGAGCAAATGTATATTAATTATTTTTTATTAAAGTATCAAAACATAACCTTGAGAATAGAAAACAAATTGCTTTTAATGCTGTTTTAAAGATTCTCCTGAATAAAGTAGACATTTACTAAACCCATGCAATGCATTCCTCATGTCTAGACATTTTTGTAGACATTGCTTTCTTGGGTATATTCAAATTAACTTCAGTACCATAACTTATGAATTATACTTGCACATACACACGGGTGCACGCACGCACGCACACACACACACGCACACACACACACACACACAGTGCAAAGCAGCTATGACCAAAGAGTTAGACATAAAAGCAGAATATCTTCTGACAAAAGTAGTGATACCACATTAACATTTGGCATGCTAGTAAATAACATTTATGTTTAACTCAAGCAGCAAATGCAGGACGCCTGCGTCACCATAATACAGTTAAGAGCAACTGTACAAAATTCCTAAAGAAGAGACAAATTTTGTGATTATATTGAACAGTAAATGAAGCCAGTCCCTATACTAATACCTCATAACAGCATAAGTGACAAACTTTTTTTTATTTAGCCTTTGCTGATATTTGATGCACAAAGGACAAAGCCAAGGAGTTTGTATCTGGATTATGCCTAGATCTACTGCTTCTATATTACAGAAGTCAAATGCTAACGAAAATTCATTTGACAAGGTTATTGAAACACATTCTATGTATTTCCTGTGTCAGACAAACAATGGGCCAAATTTATCCATTGTGTAACTCCAGTTAAGCCAGTGGAGTTGCATGAGGGGGCTCTGTTCTCCAGCCACAGGATCTGAGAAACTCTCATTGAAGTCATTGGAAGTTCCAAATAATATGCAATGAGAGACTTGGTCCCCAGGACTGAACGTGGCCCAATATGTTGTATTTTATACATTCACCTTTCAGGTACTTGAAGTACATATTTGAAACATAATATAGGACATTACAATATAGGACATTACAATATCCAGATCTTAGGAAAGTGTATTAAGAAGTTCTGTTGCAGAATATAAAAATAAAAAAAGGATCTGGTATGATATCTGTTTTACCCATCTGGGGCTTGCAAAGTAAGAAGCTGATGGTTGAGGTATCTATTGGTTTAGCCTTTAATTTGAAATTGTATTTAACACTGCAGAACTGGTGTAAAATATTATGTACTGTAAGCTCCATTCTTATGGTTTACTTCATTTAAAATGCATTATTAAGCAATTAGACACCACTGATTGAGATATGAACTCTCTGAACCCAATCCTGCAAGATGATCAACACCTCATGAGAGGCAAGGATCAGGCACTTATACTTTTTAAAAGTGGTGTCCCAAATAGAAGCGTTGAAGTTTAGAAATATATAATATTAGACACCAAAAAGTAAAAATAAAAAAACAGTACAACACTTGTGTTTTCAGTTTTGTCTTGTTTGCAATATTTATTATTTCAACTTCTTAGGAATATTAGTGATAAATAAGGATAATATTTTCTTTTACAGAAAACTGTAATGATAATATTGAATAGGATTAAACAATCTGAGGATTTCACAGAAACATCAGAATTTAAACAAACACTCATAACTCTAGCTCTTTAGTCCAGCAGCTCAACTAATAGTTCAAAACATCTCAGGTTAGATTTTTAAAAAAGTAAAAAATAGTTATTCACTACATCACCAAGTTCTAGGCTATTCTTGGATTCTAAATAGCATTTTGGTTGGCTGCAGTTACCACTCAAATGTGAAAGAAAATTACTACAATCAGAATTCTTTCCCCTGTATAAATCTGGCAATAAGAAATAATCCTGACAGGGTGAGAGACTTCAAACTGTTGCTCACATGAGTAAGAGCTACCTGTGGGACTACTTGTGTGAACAGGATTGCTAATTTGAGTAAAGGTGTGCATAATCAGCCCCTATGTGATCTAATGTAGTAAGTCTTTTCCATTTCTATTTTCTGAGATTCACAAACTTGGGGTTCAATCCTGCAGTCCTTATTCAAGCAAAAGTCTTATTGAAGTCCCTTCCTGGTTAGTTCCCTCTTCCCAAAAAGTGCAATTCACCCATGTGCAGAGGGCCAGCACAAGGTGGATGCATTATTTAAATTACAGTTATAGCGTCAAAATAGGGCTTACATGATGTATAGCCCTTGCACCTGCCCTCTGCACAGGGGTGAATTTCACCCAGAATGAATGATAAATGGGAGTTTTGCCTGAATAAAGATTGCATGCTCAGAACCTAAGACATCAGGGAATCATTATATTTTTCAAGTCTATTTTTACTGTAATTTTGTTTCCATAAAGTTCTTTGAAATACCACACATATGAGATATTATACTTTGGGTGCGCAAAGGCCAAGGTGCTTTCCTATTTTTCATGGCAAAATTGCAATTCCTGAAGAACAGTGAGGGACGTTCCAGTTCAGTAATTGCAAACTTAGTTACATGGACATCTGGCAAGAAACTGACACTTGTCACAACTATCAGATTTCTCAGAATCTGCTGCTGAGTCATAAAAAAATCCACACAAGTGTTGTGAAGAAAAAAAAAAAAGTACAATGTTTAGTTTGAAACTAAAGTCTTTGCAGCATTACGTTAGACTACAGTCCCATCACATAGCAACACATTCTGCCAGAAAGCATCATTCTGGAAACTGCAACACTTTAAAAACACTCTGAGTGTGCTTTCCCTACCAGCAACAAGGAAAGATAGTGTCCATCCAGCACAGCTGTCGGTACAATGTGCATCACTGGAAGTCATAGTGTTCTAACACAAACATCATGAGTGCAGGCACTGTACACTAGCAGAGACCTAAAACTTCCGGAGCTGTTGTCTGTAGCTTCTAGGAACAGCAAGTATGACAAGTACTAAAACCTAGAGTTGAGGCAGAGGACTCTGACTTGATCGAGACCAAATCTTTGGAGAGGAAGAATCACAGCTAAGCCAAAATGATCCTTCCTGCTTAACAAAGCAATCTCCCCTGCCTAATGGTTCTAGACTAAAAGGATCCTACAGATACACAGAGTCAAATCCTCCATGGTTTCTGTTTTTTGGTGTAAAGATGCACTATGAGAACTCTTGGTTTGCCTTAACCCTGCAATGTTCCTTCTTTGATCTGTTGAATAAAGAGGTTTCTTTCATCCTCAGGTGTCCTCCCGTTCTGTGCTCGAACTATGCAAGTGGGCCTGTGGAGATTGAGCATGTATATCAAATGTTGCTTCTCGTTCTTTAGCTCTTCAATCTGGGCCTTTAGTTCTGCGTTGATAGTTTCCAACTTTTCTGATTCCTAGCCACAGAGCACAGACATAAGTATTGCAGTGAGTATTTTACATAGTTAACCATAATGTTATTGTGATGGTTGCCACCCTTTATTGGTAGCAAAGCATGATGGCTGGGTTGGAAAGAAACTACCTGCTTCTCAATTAGTCATAATTATGCAGCTGTACCTCACCAGTATATAATGGTCTAGAGAACAGATTCAGACAATGGCCCTCTTTGCCCTTTAAATAAATATGACAGTGGTCACAAAGCCAAATTCAATAGAGCTACCTGCCAAACATTGCTTTGGCCAAAAGGAAGCTTACTTGCCACCACACACACAGACACACACACACAGAGCCATTATGAACTCACTCGGCCAGTCCAACGGCCAAGTGGAAGTTCCAGTGAGCTGCACCCCAGGATCTGAATCCTTGCTTCTAGCCTGGTTCCTTGTTCCCAGGCCAGGAGGGACTTAGAGCATGGGGAGGCAGAGCGTTCATTTTGGGGTAGGATGATAAGAAGCGGCACCCTGCTTTTCTCTGATAAGCCGCTCTGACCAACACAAGGAGTGATGTTAATGGGCTCCCCACGCTTTTCTGAAGAGACAGTCACAGATATGGGGCCTTTGAGAGACTGTTTAGAACTCTTAATGCACTAAATACTAAACGCTTCTAATCACAAACTTGCTAATGGAGACAGACATTAGAACCATAAGGGATACTTTGTGCCTATTCTTGTGTCCTCTGTGCTACCATGTGTAAATGCTCTTGTCTATAGGACTCTTATGACATCATTACTGTTTTGCAGTGGCATAAGCTTATGGTATCAATAAGTAATAGTAATAGTACATAAGCTTGTGATTTGTAAAAGTTACTTCTCTGAAAAGTTCAATCAGAAGTGTTAATTATAAACCAAATGAGATGCAGCTTTAATTTGTTAAGCTGCTACATCAGTGATCATTTCTAACTGGAGAGCCATTTCATAGAGAAATCAAGTTTTGGTGCATGGAGTAAGCATAACTTATTAGAATCTATAAGCTGTAGCTCACGAAAGCTCATGCTCAAATAAATTGGTTAGTCTCTAAGGTGCCACAAGTACTCCTTTTCTTTTTGCGAATACAGACTAACACGGCTGTTCCTCTGAAACCTGTCATAGAATCTATAATGTACATTATGTGAAATGTAATTTTAATTCCTCATGTGTTCCATTTACATTTTCAGATTAGTATTATCCACATATATAACATTATCACTCACTAAAATTGCAACAATTTTTTCTTCTCCTTCCACAGTTATTTTTCATCTATCTTTCATTGTTAATCAAATTTGATCTAAAGGCATTTGGGTGAAATTTACCCCAGTGCCCTAAGATTTTGCACAGGCCTTGTGCCAGTCTGCTTCACAAAGATGAATTTAACCCATTGGTGAATTCAGCTTTCCAACACTCAAGTGAGGTGGCTAAATATCTCCACTTTACAGTTGGGGAAAAGAGGGTAAATGACTTGTCCAAGATCACACAGGAAGCCTGTAGCAGAGACAGGAACAGAGTCCACATCTCCTGAGTCCCAGTCCTGACCTTTAGCCCGAAGACATTGTCCAAATAATGGAACATTATTGTTCCAAATAATGGAAAGAGGAAATAGGGTGAGAACAGTCAAAGTCAGTAACTTACTTTCTGCAAACATTCTGTTTTCTCCTTCTTTTTGTTGCGGCATTTTGCAGCTGCAATTTTGTTCCTTTCCCTTCTTCTCTTTTTCCTTTCATCTTCTTGGGGTGAAAACTAGCAAGATTCAAGATGCACATACTCAGCATGATGCAGTAAATGCAGAATAATCATGTTGATAATTGCCGACTTTTAAAATAATGGTAGCACTAATATGTTTCTGACCAAGACAGAGCATCAGACACCCTAGAGGTATGCTTCTGATCTCACAACAGTGTAAATCAGGAGTAACTCCTCTGAGGTCATCATTGTAAACCTGGTGTAACAGATCAGAATGAGGTCCTCTATGTGTCACATTCTGAAGATTTATTTAAGCCAACATTTTTAAATTAAAAATATATTCAGATTTTATTCTACTGACTAATGTTTAATTCCCTGAAGTCAGGAGGAGTTTTGTCTGAGTAATAATGATGTGTAGAATCAGGCCCCTAGTCTGGTGGTTGGATAGCAGAGTACTATGCCAGTGTCTACGATCTACTAGCTGTACTCAACCCAGCCATCTTTACACATTGAACGCCCTCTGACGCCAATAGGAGTGTGGAGTGGGGATCAATGGTTGTGTATGGAATTCACAAAAAGTTCCACTCTTTGCACTCAATTCTGCTCTCAGTTACTCCAGTGTAAACCCAAAGTAACTTTGGCCCTACGGACCAGAGTCTCATCTCACTTGGATTTTACACTGGTATAACTCCATAGATTTCAGTGGAGTTACTCAAACTTATACCAATGTGCATGAGTTCACAATCTGGCCCCCCACGAGGCTAGGAATGGCACAGCTAGTTTCTTCAGAAGAGGAAGAATTATATAGCTTATTATACAGCTTAGTGCTTTCCTTTTGGCCACCTGGTAGGTTCACAACCAGAAAACTGGTTTTTACAACCAATTCACGGCTACTGACCAAACTTAAGCTATGTCTTCACCACAATAAAAGGTGTCTTTTTATATTGAGATAGTGACCTTGATATAAAATCCTAGTGGTTGATTTTACTTCGCTGTAGCGAGCTGAGGAAAGTCAACCCTTTACCTCCCACCTGCAGATGACCTCAACTAACTAAATCAAGGTTAAATTGCAGTGACTTGCTCCAGGCCCTACAGCAAGTCAGTAGTGAAGCCAGATCCAGAGTAGCCTCTAGAGATACTCCCTTCCATTAATAAGGGAAGTTATTACTTGTGTCAGGCTAAAAATAAACTGGCCCTAACTGAAATGAAAAGTGAAATCGTGTTTCACAGTAGCACGTAAAGAAAACAGAAATAAAGAAACACTAGAGCACTGAACACAGTGACAGATTTAGTCCCCTGAGGACTGCCTGTGTTTGAGTTTATATCATTCTTGGTCGTTGGTATATTTAGTGGTCCATTAAATCAGAACACTAATCAAACGGAATTATCATCGAAGGAAAAATACCTCTGCTTTCAGAACAGACATTTCAACAGGTCTTTCCAACACTGTCACTGTATCCAATGTGGAAGACATCCTGTGGGATAGGCACTTATTTTGGATGGCAAATCTCAATTCTTCCTTCACCAGTGGGGTTAGATTTGTGAAATCCTCAAACCCCAGTGATGCTGTAGGAGACAAACAGGGAACAATTGCGGAGGCGCTGACTTCTGATGCAGATACCTGGCTTGGGTTTTGGAGCATCATTTTGCTGAAAAGGAACAAAATAAAAACATTGAATAGTCTTTCAATAATCTTAAAAAGCCAAACAGATTTGACAGAAGAGAGCTGCATTTTCCATAACTATGAACCAATCCCTGCATATTTTTTGCATAGGTTGAGGTGACATTCTTACACTATTTATACACATAAATAGTGTATATGTATACACACACATTTATAGATTTTAGAGTCTCATGGAAAGGTGTGTGAGTTGACACTGTAGTTCACGATGGTTGCAAGAGAACAGTTACTGTCTACTTTATAAGGAGTGATCATGCATTCCTTGAGCAATTCAAACTTCCATTGAAATCAAGCAGTGTAGGCTCAGGTCCTAAGTGAATGCATCTATATTTAATCAATTTTTAAATGGATGTATGTTTTTTAGATTCTATCTCATTATGCAAGTCCATTTTCAGGATCTTTCTGCAAAGTAAAATGGCATTGTGAATCCTTCAAGCATGGCAGGCTGTGTGACAATAATATTGGGGTGTGAGGGAGGAAAGGAGAAGGACCCATAGAAGGAAAATGGCAATTGAAGAGGTTTTAAATTTTAAAATTGTAAAAAGACAAAATTAATGGTTCTCTCATACTAAGAGCTGTACCTCTATATTCGAGCTTGGAAGGAATGGGATAGATCCTGGCTTCAGTTACACCTGTGTAAATCCAAAGTAACTACACTGGATGCCTAGATTTACATGGATGTGACTGAGCGAGATTAGAACCTGGTCCACAGTTGTTCAGATCAAAAGATAAATTCCTGAAAAGCAGTTTGTAATAAAAGTTGGCACAAGCATAAAGAGCTATATATGCTCAGAGGTATCAAGCCAGAGGTAGAGTTGGAGGGAAGGAATAATGCAAAATGTGAAGTATATTTTATTCTTTTGCTCTTGTGAAATCTGAAAGTACCCTTGCAGACCCTTAAAATTAAGGTATTTTAAATGATTAAACATTTATGGCCAGATCCTCCATCACTGTAAATTGATGTACAGTAGCTGTACTAAGTTCAATGGAACTATGCCAGTTGACACCAGTGGAGGATCTGACCCTTATTTTTTAAAAATTGGATAAAATTCAGATTATTTTACCATCTTGCTTTTTCTACTTCCTCACAGCATGCAGTCAACTGTATATCTTGTAGTCATGGGGTTACTATAGTATTACCTGTTCTTGATTCCTTTGGTAATTATAGTAAAATCAGTTGCAATTAACTCCCTAGCAAGTAAGTAGACAACTGCCTCAGGGCATCTCTGTACGTAAGTGAAGGCTCTATGTAGTCAGCCTAGATTTGTGCACTCACCTTTATGTCAGTGCTATAACTTTGCAGTTTTGGGTGTGGTTGAAGATTATGTACTCTAGCAAAAGGCCAGATTCCTCTCTCAGTTATCCAGAGATTTACACTGGATAATTGAGAGCAGAATCTGGGCCAGAGCTAAATATTTGAAAAGGGTAAATACAAAATCCTAAGGTTAGTGAACTACCAATATGTAGAATTCCCTTGCCCTGGCCACCAAATCCCAGGTTTGGAGGCTTTCCAAAAATTTTCTCATTTTCAATAAAACTAGAAGAACTGAGGAGTTCCCAAATTCTCCACATGAAATCCTGGCCCTACTGAGGTCAATGGAAAATTCCCACTGATTTCAGCGAGTCCAGGATTTCACCGTCATTTATTAAAGAAGGGAAAATTCCCTGGAACTATTTGTTATTCCAACAGACCTTGGGAAATTTATGTAAATTTATTCACTTCAGGAAGCCCCTGCTCATGAGTCACATCTTAAGTATTGATACCCATTAATCCTATAATCTCAGAGAGCTAGAGGATACTCATCTCCAGAGAGCTAGAGGATACTCATCTCCAGCAAGTTAGAAACATCCCTCGGATTTCCAGCTGACAAACCAACAACAGCATTTACCATTTAGCATTTCACCAACACATTCAGATAGGTTCTATTTTCCAATGGGATTGAACCCATCATTGTCTGTGGATAGAGGAAGCCTTAGCCATGTGCATTAGCTGTCAGTATTGTTTTTGCTCATGGTGATAGCTTAATTCTATATGGGTAATTCTGTTTAATTCACTCCAATCAGAGATCTAAACAAAGCCATTTCTCCAGCCCACCCCAAATAATTAATTGTGCTAATAAATTTTCAGTGCTGGTGGTAGGTCTGTTTTTCTTAAAAAATAAGTGGATAAACTTTTAATTAAAATCAGCATTACCACCAAAAGAAACCAAGAATGTTCAGAGCTTTCACGGAAAATATCTTGAGAAATATTGTCCATGCTGGATTTCCATTAGTAATTTAAGGAGTTATTTTCAAATATCCACTAGCACTAACGAAATTCTGCTAAAATCCCTTTGATAATCCTATTTGCTTTTACTGGTGTCTCCTTGATTTAAGAGTGATGGGGAAGTGTTCTCTATGGGCACCCTTGACTTTAGAACTTGCAGCTCCCCTTGGTCTGAAATAAGCCAAGTCTGTTGACCTTCAAAACGGGCTGGAAAGCATCTCTACTTAGGCTTTAGGAAAGAGAAGTGTTCGAAGGGGCTGAGGTCTGTGGGTGGGTAGGTTTGTGGGAGTACCGTTTTGGGTCAGTTTTGCTTTAGTGGGGTTTGCTGCTAGTTTCCGCTTGTTTTTTGTAACCAATTTTGTAAACTCTTTGGGTCAGGGACTGTCTTTTTGTTCTGGTTTGTACAGTGCCTAGCACAGTGGAGTCCTGCTCCATGCCTGGGGCTCCAGATGCTATGATAATACAAATAATTATAAATCAGAACTACAACAGAGGTACGGAGAGTGCTAGATAGATACCTTTTGTATACTTGATAAAGCAACATAAAATTGAAATGTTGGTATTTTCTTCTGTTCAAAAACATTTTTTCTTCAAGATGAAACATACAACTTCCTATATTACACTAGTATAATAAGAGTTAAAAACTTGTTTTGCCTCCCTTTTTTCCAGTCATCTGTCTGTACATTATCTTAGGCTGTAAGTTATTTGAGGCAAGGGCCTGGTTTACTCTGTAAAGCACCTAACACACTTTGGCTTGTTCTATAATTAGCCCAAGAAAACAATCACATCTAGACCTTTTTGTTTAACTACAGTTCCATACAACTGCATGGATCCCAATCTGGTGAGGTGCTGAACACCTTCATCTCCCACTGAAGTCATTGGGAATTGGAGGTGCTGAACACCTCACAGAATAGCACCACAGAGGCTCAATTCATCTCTGACACAAGAGCAAGCTACTCCATCAGAAGCTTATGATCAAGAAAAAACAGTACGTTTCCTGATGAAGATCCCATTCCACAGTTTGTGTAATGGTATTTTTCTCACCACTTTTAGTTTTCACCTCTCACATTCTGACATTTTATGTGTCAGGGCACATTCTCCATTCCAAAGTCCAAACTCAGCCTTTATGTTACTTAAAGTGTCCTTCAGTTTAATGCGAATATTAAAAATGAACACTTCAGGTCACCCTCACTCCTAGCTTTCCTTTAATTTAACTGCAGATGAATGATTTAATTGTATTTCCTTAGATGAATGCATTTCCCTCTGCTGCTGACGCAATAAACCCTGTGAGCCATACAGGTTAATCTGAAACGGCATTAAGAGCAATTATAGTTCACAACCTCTGCGCACTCAAATTGACCTTTAGGATTCTGATATCCCTTATCATTTCTGCCTCCGCATCTGCTGGCTTCGAACTTTTCTGCTGTTGTTGCTACCAAGTAAATCGATTTCACACAGGAAACTCGTTCTGTGTAACAGTTTTTCTGTTGCGTCGTCACTCAACCCTGCTCAGTTAGGCAACAGGTCAGCAACTGATCTTGTTCATGTCAGTCATCGGAGGGGGGGGGGGGGAAGAGACTATTGTTATCTAATTATTCCCCACCTTGCAGGATGATATTACTTCTCGTCTGTGTGTCCCCTAATCAAATCATCCAAAGAGGTCAATATTTCCCCCAAAATAACATCAAGGAGAATAGCTCCACCTGGGACCTTACAACACTTCTGTGTAGCCCAGCCCAGGCTCAACAGACACAGCCATTGCTGGGTGACTCCCCTTAACAGAAGGTGCTTTGAGCTCTTGGTTACTAACTTTTCTCTCTAGTCTAAACGACTGTATCGCAGCACAACCTGGGCCGTAGCTTGCAGGCGCCGGGCGCGCCACAGCACGGGAGAGCCGCGCTCCCTGCTGCCGAACAATGCGCCGCCCTGTGGGCTCGACCGCTACCCCCAGCCCCAGAGAAAGGAATGAATCGGGCAGTAAAGCGACCCGGGCCGCCCAAAGGGGAGAAACCCGGTCTCGCGGGTGAAGGGGTGGGGGGCAGATGCGCAGCCCCCCCCCCAGCGAAGCGGCGCCCCTGGCCCCAGCGAGAAAGCGCCCGGCGGGTCAGACGCACGGCTGAGCGCCCCGGGTGAAGCCGAAGCGGCGGTGGCTCGGGCGAGCAGCGATCGCCCCGTCCCAGCGGGCTGCGGAGCGTGTCAACCGGGGGGATGTCTCGGGCGCGTGTCAGAGACGCCGAAGCGGGAGAAATGGGGGTGGCGGGGCGTGGAGGGGGGCTTTTTTCTTGTGCGGGGCCCCAGCCGGAGTCAAAAACTTCGCTCTCCCGAGCGCACTTTTGCTTTCAGTTGCGTGCTCCGCGAACTGCCCAGCCCAGCGAGCGAGGCGAAGAGGAGGGTGCCCCCCTCCCCCCGCCCCGGCTTTCCTCGCCACTGTCAAGTTCCTTAGCAAAGTCCTGCCTCCCCCGCGGCGAGCCGAGTCCCCGGCTCCCCCCCCCCCCCGCCGCTCCCCTTTCCAAACTCACTCACCTTTCCCCCGCCGCTTCTCACGCTGCCTGGCCGCGGCTGGGAGAGGCGGAGTGGGACCGAGCAGGAGCGAGGCAGCGCCGGGGAGCAGCGGGGCGGCTCGCTCGGTCTGCGCGGCTCCCTGCCGGGCGCTCTGGCTGGAGCGGCTCCCTGCCGGGCAGTTCCGAGTTTGCCGCTTGGAGAGCTGCGGCGGCGGCTGCTTCCCGGTGTGTGTCTGAATCTCTGGCTCGGCGAGAGGTTGCATCACCCTCCTTATATAGGCGAGTGGGCAGCGCTGGTATTTACTCTGGCGGCGAGTCCTGGGCTGATGTCATGCTATTAATAGCTTCGCCGAGAGAGCGAAGGAAGGGGGGGCGCAGCGAGCAGGGGGCGGTGATGCAAGGCTCCCCCCCGTCCCCACCAGGAGGAGGAGCAAGGGAGCTGGCTCGCCTGCACACACGCTCCATAACAGGACTGCAGCCGCCTGGGCTAGCCGCCAGATGTGAACTCCTGCAGCTGCGTGTCAGCCTCATGAGCCAATGGTGCCCAAGCCAGCTGCATGACTCCAGATCGCTGGCATCCTGCTGCAACGGGGATGGGCAGTAACGGATCGGGGGGCGGCGGTGGACTGAGGGGGCAGAACTGGTTCGCTGAAGGGACCTTTTAGGAAAGGCTTTCTCGTTTTTCTGTAGCGATTTAAACGGCTTGAAAATCATCCCCCCTCCCCCGCTTAGATCAGCCTGTGTGTGTTTGTGTAGGGGGGAGAATGTGTAACTGTGCATCAGGCATCTGTGCCGGCCCTTTTGGGAGGCAACAGTGTGAGACTCCCTAGCCCCGTGTGTGTGGTATTGTGTGTGTGTGTACGCGCGTCAGCCTTACCGGGCTGCCCCTGTGCAAGGGGAACAGCGTGAGGCTCGCGCGTTGCCACAAAAATACTACAGCCCGCCCCGGTGTGGCTCTCCGAAGAGTTCGTCTCCGCCGAAGATCTAGCGAACGGGATGAGAGGCGGGGACGGGTCTGTCCGTAGCATGTGGGGATGGGAAAGGGGCATTTCTAACAGAGAACCGAATTCACTTTGGAACGTAAGCCTCCCCTCAGAAAACTGTCCGATCCGCGGGTGAAAATTGAGAAGATTTCTAGAGAAAAATCACTTCCCCATTCTCTTTCCCCCGTACGGCGCAGATGTGCTTCCTGAGATATTTTCGGCATGATCTGCTGTTTGGAATTCCGTACATTTACAGGCTTTTACTAGGAATCGGGTGCGTAGGTGAGTGGGGCTTTTTAGTAATAAAGGCAAAGCCCGTTTTACGGTAATGTTTGAAGGATTATGAAGTTTTCAAAAGAACTGAAAATGTGACCCCGTGTCACTGAGATGTAGTTCCCCCAATTTCAGGTGCCACCTAAACGTTCAGTGTACAAATTGCGGGGGCTGACTTTAATTTTTACCCATAAAGATTAAAGACCTCTTTGCTGACACATCAGGGAGCTTAAAAATATCTTTCCTTAAACAAAGCAACTAACAATATCAGACGAAGCCAGAGGAGGAGGACTTAAGGGGAGGAGAACGTTTTCCTTTTTTTCATTTCACATCATGCTAATTTCTTAAACAACAAGAATTAAATTCTAACAGCCACAACACAAAGCTGGGAGACAGAGTGTTTAATGTGCTTCAGTATTCACAAACACACACACACACACATATACACAACATAATATAATACTTACATAATACATATAATAATAGCATGAACACAACTTTCACTTGCAAACTCAGGCACTCAAGCCATGTTGACTCAGCTACTTTGTGTACTGAGTGTGTACATGCATATCATGATATACATCAATATACAATGCATTAACAAGCAAGAGTACTACTTTAAGGTCTGAATTTAATAAGGGGCTATATATGTGCATTTGGGACAATCTAACACTGATAATAGCCTTAAATCTTGAAATGTCATGACTTTTGCATGCTTGATCTCAGAAACTTAACACTTCATTAACAACGGCATTTTGTTAATTTCCTACTTTTTTAAGGAGAAAGGGTTGGGAACAGAGAAAGAAAATCCGGCTTGCACAGTTTAGAAGATCATATTTGCGGTGTGTAGGGACAGTTTGTTCCTCGCTCAGCACTTATGTGGTGTGTTCAGTTTATAGATTCTAACGGCAAGTTCTTTATTCCACACCTGATCAGTTTTTAGACTCCTGGCAAGTTCTAAAACACTGATTGCTGCACACTGCCTAACTATGCACTCACACAGTGGTCACCTCTCTTTAAGTACACACCTACAGACACTGGGGAAAAAATCTCAGCCAGCTCACACCCTTCAAAGGATTTTATCTTTGTAAATCCAAAGCAATTATCCTGACACCAAGCAAAAAGACATTACTCTTTAATGGGGACTGTGGGGACTTGTCTATGACAAACTTCAGCTCCGTTTTCTGGGGTAGCCCTGTCGTTAAATTGTTTACACAGCAAAGGGGTATTTTCTTCACTCATGCCACATCCGAAAACAGCTGGAAGGACTTTGCTCAGACTTACAAAAAAAGGCAGAGGCAAACATGGAGAATTTCATCCCAAAATGTAAATGTTATGGAAAGTTTTGAGCAGGTGGAAACAGGGAGTTATTAATGGAAGCTGTTTTGCAACATTAACTTGAGTGGTCATGACCAGGTGCTTTCTGTAATACAGACAGAGAGTTTTAGCAACTATCCAGGGTTATTTAACTACTTGTATTATCCATGGAAATTTATTTGGAGCATTTTTAATTAAATAGAGCAAAGTCACACAAATAAATAGGGGCAATTAGAAAGGTTAAATACATTACTTCATCTTTCAGATTGGTTAGAAACACCTCACAAAGATAAATATTGTTAATCTGTTTTAAGTGTCACTAAAAATTACTTCATGATCACAGTGTTTCACAGATATAATATAGTACTAATCAGACAGATGCTTATGCTTCATGTATCTTCATTACTTCTAGTATTATCATTGACAAGGAACTATGTTTAATATGAAAAATGCTGTTGACAGTAAAATGGGTGTGTTATTTACCAAATCCTTGATATGAGAGAGCTCCTCCCCTGAGAATAAACATAGAAATAGCAACCGTGCATGTTTTAAAATGAGTCCACTGTAAAATGTCATGACATGACATTCCTCAGTAAGAAAGAAAATGAAACTATAATAAAAATGAAACCAGAGTTTTACCTTTAGTTTTGTTAACATACAGGGCCCCATTCTGCTCCCATTTCAATCGATGTCAAACTCCCATTGACCTCAGCAAGGGACGTAGGATTGGGACCAGATTCAACTTAATACAAACAAATATAGCTATCAAGAATATCAGGAAGTAAAAGCAAACAATAGATACACAAGATGCTTAAAGGCTTTTGGTAGTTTTACTTTTCAACTTTTCAAAAAAAAAATTTCCACCTTCTCTATCTATCTCCACCTGGTCCTTTTAGATTTCCTCTCTCTAGTGTTACCAGAAACTGCAGGAAGGAATCTGACTGAAACAGTAATAGTTTCAGTGAGATGAAGTCAATTTTAATTATTACGGCTGTGTCTTGATCTAGGTGCAATATATGATCACCAGAGCACCTACAGTATTACTCATTGGGTATTTCTACAAAGAACAATAACCTGCTGCTCTGTTATTGTGAACTCTCAGAAAATCTCTAACCTGAATTGGCACAGAGAAAAGGATTCTTTCATTCACCATCTTCTGGGCCAAACCCTGCCTCCTCCATCCCCACATCTCTTCATTTCCAGTGGGTATGTCCGTAAAGTAAAAATATGGCCTCCAGTAATATAACTAAGCAATAAGGCTTAAATTCCTGCAGCAAAAGCTTTCTGTATTCCCCCTTCTACTAAATTTATGGAGCTGTGGGATATCTGCCAGGGAAAAGCTATATAATCTAGGGGACCAATTCTCATCTCTCACTTGTTTTCTAGTGGTGTAACTCCATTATGCAGTGAGGTTACCTATGATTTCCTCTGGTAAATATCACAGGCCTCATGAAATATAAATATATAACATTTACTTTCCTAAGTATCTGTCCTGCTTAGTGACTTCTTAGGTAAAATTTGGTTTCCTGAGTCCTTTGTGGTTTTACTGCTGTTAATATTTGATATTACTATAAACATAACAGGCCTAATTTTCCTCTCAGTTGCACATGCAACTGAGGAATAACTTTGTTGAACTCAGCAGGGTTACTTACAGCAATGTAAAACCATTACAGAACTGGGCTCTTTGACTGTGCCAGCAGAGCTATTCTAGAGTTCCATGCCAAGCAATCACTTTGCTATGATTTTTCCTATACAGTATATTTCTGTTCCAAAGCTGTATTATGAGATTCCTATATTTGCTCTTGCATTTGTATTGGCATCAAATTCCCACCTCAGATGCTTATGCATGTGTTGTCAGCAGCATAAACCTGGGTCCATTTTTCTCTGTATCACAGATCTCTACTGCTTGGCCGAAAGTAGTAACTCCTAATAGTAGCAGTAACAACCATGAAGAAGGCTATGTCTACACTGCACATTAAGCCCTGGCTCTGATTCAGGTTTGAGCCTAAGCCCCCCTTCCGTCCCTGCACATCAGTCTGACTTGGGTCAGCAAGCACTCAGGACCCAAGCACTAGGACCCCTGCTAAGGGGATGGGTCAAAGCCTGAGTCCTTTGATTCTGGTCCAAATAATTTCTCAAGCTGCAGACCTGAATCAGAAGATGTATCTGGTGCAGTATGAACATATTAGCATTGCTGTGAGACCGGGGTCCAGTAACTGTAAGCCCAGGTTTATATGCAGTGTGGATGCTCAATTGCAGTCTTGGAAAAACCAAGTCCATAAACCTGGGTCCCACAGACCTGGGTTTACAATGCAGTATAGACATCTCTTAAAGGATCATGCAACACAAACACTGCCAATGTGTTACATACAGTCCTACTGAAGTCAATGGGATTTGTGTATGTACACCTCAGGGGGAACGTTAGCATGTAATAAGTAAGGGATTATTGCCACTTGTATTATTAGCAGTAAAATATTTAAAAACAAGCTTAGTTCACATCAGTTTTGTGGGCATCTTCTCTTGCTTTCCTCCTGCTCCCTCTGTTTATGTTTCTTTATTCACTGTCTCTACTTCCATCTCTATTTTTTATTCTCTCCAACTTCATTTTCCTCTGTCCTGTCTTATTTTATCTCCTTTTCATATATTCTCTCCTTTCCTGGTCTCTGTTTTGCCTTATGTTTGAGCAATAGCACTCCTCCCTATTTCCTGACTACAGAAACTTCTCCTTTTCTCTTCACCTCTTATCTCTTCTCTATTTTCCCTC